TTCCTCCGGGCCTGAGTACGCCAGGGCGAAGGGTTCTTGGAAGATGGGCGTGCTGGTGTTTTCAGTTGGTATCCTTGTTGGGATTTTTTAGAGTGTTTAAGAGGGAAGTCCCAAAGGGAAACTAAAGGGAAACCGCTGGGTCCCAAAGCAAACCAAAGGTTTGAAGGTAAATCTCTAGCAATCTACGAACGATGGATCCAATGTTTTTCTTCTCAAGCGAAACCGCGAAACAACGAATGGTCTAGCAGTTTGCATTCACCCCCTCGCCCTCCTGCGCAGATGTTCACGGAACTGGCCGCCAAGTGGCCAGTCAGACCCACTTGGCCTCCATTTAAGACCCCTGTGCATCATTTGTCGCTAATGTTGAAAACCATTTTGCTGACTCCCAAACCATAAGTGAGTGAATCCATTTCATCCCCACACTTCCACGGTTTGCTGCGACGCGCAAATAAAGCACAATTGACATAATGAGCTTTCAACCACCAATGAAAAAAACACGGTCCAGACTCAAACTGAGCTTGCAAAACCCCAAAACCAAGAAGGAAAACACCGCAAACAAGCAAAACCAAGCAACAAAAAAAAAAAAAAAAAGAGAAAAGGGCGCATTGCCTTGAAGTCGCCTCGCCTCCACCGCGGCCGCCGCGCCCAGCCCCGGATCCCCGCATCCCGTGGCGGCCCGCAAGACCTCGAGTGGGCTGGGTGAGGAAGCGGTCGGATGAAACTCCGCCCAAAAAGGGAAATGAAGCTGTCAGGTTGACTATTTGGGGCTTAATGTCAAAGGAATCCGCGCAAAATGGGAAAGGCTGTGGGCGAAAAGCCCGGGGCTTGACTTTTGCGGTTGAAACCCAAAGGAGGGCTCAGGATCGCCTGATCCGGGAAGACTAGAACCCCGGGTGTAGCATTCCGCGTTAGCCATTTCGCGGCAGCTGCACGCTGGATCCCCTGCTTGGTTTTGTTTTATAGCTGTGGGTCAAACAAAGGGTGACCCCAAACTGGGACCGTGGTGAGTGGAAACATGGGCGAAAACCTGCGGTCCCCGGGTTTAATGTTGATCCATACCCATATGGGGTTGTCTCAAAGGAATCGGTGCAAAATGGGAGTCGGTTTCCCTTTGGCTTTCTTTTAAGTCAACCAAAGGGTATCGAACCTCAAAAGGACAGACCATGACCTTGGTTTACCCTTGGCAGCTTGGTAAGGGAAACCAAAGGGAAAGAACACACCTATGATTGGGGTGCGCCTACAATGATACACACGCACAGGGGTCTGGTAGAAAGGTCTACTTAAAATAAGCCTAAGGGACATCCGCAGCCCCGCAACCGACCAAAAATGCAGGAGAATTAGGAGGTTTGGTCTTCACATAGGTAGGCATACCAAACAGAAGGCAAAAAGGGGGCTAAACAACAAAAAGGGCCACTTACACAAGCCAAGGCACTCAAGAGAAGGGCCCTATGTTTCAAATTAAGTGATCAAGAAGGAATTAGCGTAGACGCCCCTCGATGTTTGGACCATAAGGTCTGCTGAAAGAAAACAACTCACCTTTGGTGATTACCTCTAGGGAAAATCATTCTCGTTGGGGATAGTGAACGGTTTGGGGGAGGTGGCAACCTTCTGAGATTCGAAAGTAGAAGGACCACCCTTCGAAACCATCGTCTTCGCTTCTTTCTTCTTTCTTTCTTTTTTTTTGGGGGGAGTGCCTTTTTGCGTGTTTTGCCAAGGCGGCAAAAGGGTCAAGCCGCAAGAAACCGGGAAAGACATGGCGTGCGAGAGAGAGATGGATCCGGGCACTATGATCCTTTCAGACAGCTTGCAAAAGGAATCTTCGGATTCCTCGGCTTCGCATGTTCAGCTGCCACCCCCCAACATGTACATTTTAGGGGGAACCCCCGAAAGCACGGTTTTTTCAGCCTCTTGCGATTGGATGCCACGGCTTCCACTCAAATCTCACATCCAAAAGTGCAGCTCCATGGCCCCGCCCCACGACCTGACTGCAGGCAGCAGGCGCAGGACTCCAAAGAACAGTCCACCTCCGGCCCGGCTTCGGCACGTTCCCAAGTCTTGGGCGGGGTCCTGGTCATGTCCCCATTAAAAAACGTATCCAACAAGAGGTCATTCAAAGCTGAATGGCGGAACCATCCGAAAAGCTTGGTCACTCCACATCCGGATGTGCAGGGCAATACGCAAATCCTGACAGATTCCACCACCTCAAATAAACTCACATCTGTGTTGCAATTCATTGCTGCCGATCAGTTGAATATCTGTTTGGGTGCAAGCTTCCAGTTTGGTCCTGCGGGCCACGCCCAATGCGCGCTTAAGCGCATGCGACAACCTTCCATTGTCTTCACAATGTGAAGCCTGTCCATGTGGGCAAAAAATTGACCAATGGCACAAACAGGCACCTTAACTCTCAACAAACCATGCAGGGGGCTTGAGATGTTTTCCACTTCAAAGATAAACAGGGTATACGCCCCTATGGCCTCAGCGGCCTTTTTACGATCATATTTCCCGGGCTGCTAAGTGTAGTAGCGACCCGAAAGGGGGCCCAACCTCTAGACAGGCCTCCTGTTTTCTCGACTGGAAGCCGCAACCCGAAACCCCTGCCTTCTCTCTGGGGTCTGCTGCTCCAATGCGAAGGCTCGAGTCTTCCGTTTTGAGTGGACGCCCTTCTGGTCATTGTGCAGGGACCCCATGATTGATTTCGTTCGGGGAGCCAGTTGTGTTCCTTTGGTGTTTCATGTAAAACCCCAGCCGAAAAGCCAAAAACAGGGACCCGCACAAAGAGACAAATGTGTTCCTTTGGTGTTTCATGTAAAACCCCAGCCGAAAAGCCAAAAACAGGGACCCGCACAAAGAGACAAACCCGTGTTCGAAGCTGATCACTTCTTGGTCTGACACCCTTCTGGGATGAGGTCAACCCACTAAGTAAGTCTCACTTCTTGAGTAGGCTTGCAAGCACATGTGTAAACTGTCTGTGTACCACCAAAATGGTCTTCCCAGAAAGGGCAAAATCCGGGAACTCAGGAAGTGAGAAGTAGGTTACAATCATATTGATAACAAGAGGCAACTAGGATTAGTTGTCATGACATGAAAAATTACTCCTACTTTCTAACGGGGGTTGAACATCTCCCAGTTGAATTTCGGGATTTGCGCATGTACGTTGTGGTACAAGTCGTTCAGCTGCCACCCCTCCCAAAAAGCCTGGAAACAGGTTGCCTTTTGGAGCCTTCACAAAATGTGGAAAACCAAACGGTGCTCCACGGTGGGCCTGCCAGTGAGACATGGCAGGAAACAGATGACATGGGTAGCAGTATTGACAACCGCGCTCACAAACTCTTCACAGGGTTGCTCACAACAATGGCGCCTGAGAAAAAGGTATCATTGAATTGGGGCGATTTGTTTCTGAGTTCCTTAGCTTCGCCACAGAACAGCTTGGGCTTTTCAAATTAAGGGCAATGCGAATTCGCAATCTGTAGTGGGACGCAAGGGAAACCGCAATCTGCCAGGCCAGATTCATTTTGCACCCATGTTGATCAGACCTACTTCCATTTGCTTAAGCCTCCTGGAAAACAATATAATACTATGTCCGGTAGTGAAATCGACTCCCTTCAAAACCAGCCGGAGAAATAAGACATGTTCATTTCAACGCCAGATTCCTTTCAAAGATCAACAGTGGGGAAAATCAGACGTTCGAGAGCTTCATTTCAGCAAGTCCGGATCCGTCCGAGTCCACGGAGTCCGCCTGCCAGCGCTGCCTGCCGGAGCTGTCGTCCAGCTCGCAGAGCTCCAAGCCCCGAAGGCCCCGACCTCCGAAACGGCCCCGATGCCGCCAGGAGGACGCTGGGTCCAGTGTGAAGGTTAGGGGTTCGAAAAATCGATCTGCTTTGGAGCTGGTGTCCCTTTGAACCATCTGGAGGGGAAATTAGGAGGATACGGCTATACGGTTGTTTCCCTTTGAACCACCATTTGGAGGGAAATTTAGAGGACGTTAGCTTCATAGACCCAGCTGAACCCAGTAAGGGCGTAGTCAGTTCGGGTGGCTGCGCACAGGATTGTCCTTGGGCGCAAACTGGAACCAGTTTACGAGAACCTCTAACATCTTCGTGTTGCCGGGGTGGGGGACTGCTCCAAATTAAGTCACGACAATTGGAGAATGCACCTGTTTGCTGGGAGTCATTCGAGAGAAATTGCACTGGTTTGGAAAGCCGGGGATATGTGGGTGCCATGCCAAAAGTCTAAAACCAGAAGTGCAAACAAGCCAAGGTGAAGGGGGCGACACGAAATAGACCGGCCCCAGGTTTGGTTCTTGCGAAGGGAGTCCTAAAAGGAAATTGGTTGCCTTCTGTTAGCGAGTCTTCTGTTGCAGGATATGCGGCAGCGCAAGGCTTTGGGAGAGCAAGCTGCCTGGCTAAGCCAATTGGAACCAAACACACCGGGGACCGAGCTGAGGAGGCGTCGGCCCTTGCCGGTGCCGCCCAACCTGGGCCGCACGTGTCAAGCGACCGAATTCATAGCCAAAACCAGCTCGCGGGTTCCAGATACTAGTTGGGTGTGCTTTTGGAGGGCAGCCTTTTGGGGCCGCTTTGAAAGGAAATTAAAGGGGAGTCCCCCCCCCCCAGTTTTTGGGGCTCCGACTCCTATTTTGACACAAACCCATAGACCAAACCTCTGCACCGAGGTGTCGGCACCCCTGGAGTTCAACCAAAGGCCTAAAGAATTCAATTGGAGCTGCGGGGTACTTTCAAACCATATTTTGGTCATGAGTCATGAGTAGTACACTATAATAGTACGTATTTCAGAGTTAGAAAGATTGGCGTCGATGAAACATGGGGAAAGGGTGGACTACATGCCCGAAACTATGCTTACGTCAAACAACAAGATGGCTCAATTCGCGTATCACATGACAAGCGATGCCACGATGTGGAATGGCTTGCCTAATCCCATCCCATGCACTGTGCTTCAGGGCGCCATGGCATTGCAGGCTTACCACTCAAATCCACACGAAC